TGCCACCCAGAGAATTCACGATACACTATGCCCCTGCATCTCTTGGTGGTGTGGCCCATCTCAGGACATGCCCTGTTCTCTCCTCCATGCATTCTGGCACCATGAGCCCAGGGATTCCCATGATTGCTTACCTCTTACTACTTATGTCTCCTGAGCCTCTCTATGTAAGATCAGGACCAGGAGAGAGTTGAACCCTCTCTTCCCAGGATACTCCTCTTCTGTATCCATCCTGAGGATGTTCCCTGCTACCCTGGCCTTCTGTTTGCTCCTCCCTCCTGTCCCCCCACTGTCACGTCTCACCCTTGTTCTTGGCTTAGTCCCACTGGCACTCTGATCTGTCAGTTTGATTGCAGACTCCCTCAAAGTCTCCTTCATCACTGGAAGTATTGCCTTTTCTGAGCTCCAAAGTCCTCATTCCTTTCTCACGATTTCCCCGCTTTCCACTAATATGTAATTTTCTGAGACAGGATCTCACCATGTAGCCCTGGCTTGCCTTGAACTTACTACTGTGTAGACCAGGCTGTCCTTGCATGAATGCCACCTGCCTCTGTCTCTCCAGTGCTGAGATTAAAAGCATTCAGCGATCAGTTAGTTTCCAATTTTCTCAAGTCGCCCCAGATTCCTACAGGGATTCTAATTTTCTCGTACTGTTTCCCCAAGTGTCTTAGAACATGGGTTCTGCTCAGTGTATAAATGTTGCCCTGTTGCCCACTGAGCTGCAGTAGAGAAACTATCATTTCACACGTTGGTGGGTATTATGATCATTGCATTCATGTTATGGCTGGAAGAGAGTTACTAACATGCTTAAGGTCACTCAGCTAATATGTGGCAGAGTCATGGTTAAACTCAGGCACTAGCTTTTTGGCACATTGTTGCTCCTGGTTAGTGCATGCCATATGGCCACACAGTTCAAGGAGGCGTGGGCACATTAAACATGGTTAACACTTAGGTAGATGGACCCGGCTGCAGGATGTGGAGATTTCACGTCATGGTGCATGTTAAGTTTCTAAGCAGAAAGTGCATCTGACAGCATTTCACACATCTCTCTGACCACTGGACAGTTCTTTTACTTCTCAGAGACAGGTGTAATTGCAGGTGTGTGATACCTCTGTGATGCTTACAGAGCTAAAGATGGAACCCAGGGCCTTGTTCCTGCAGTGAAGCACTTACCACCGAGGCCTATTGCCAGCCCTGTCATAGTCTTTACCGAAGAGTCTAGTGATTTGTTTATTTTACTCAAGTCAGCCCTGGAAGTCTGCCTTTCTCATTTTCTTCCCAGACTCAAGGAAGGGAGTTGGGTCTCTCCTGGTTTTAGACCCCTATTCTGCAGAGGTCAGTGCCAGAGAAAGCAAGCAGGTAGTGGTCCACATATTACAGCTACTGGGTACATGGAGCTTACAAGGAGAGCTGAGTAAGCAACATCAGGGATTGGCACAGTCATGATGGGATGGGAGGTGGGCAAGTTGGGGGTGTGGATGAGGGGAGAGAGATTTGGGCCCTTGGAGCTCTAGCGGCATGATGACCACAGAGTCTGTGTGGGGGACACATCTCATTGCATAGCTCCAGCCGGAATACCACAGAGGCCCCGGTCACCAGTCTCTTCCTTGCTTCCACAAGGCTGGCAGGATTTGCTTAAGCTCATAGTTTGTAAAAGGGTGAAGTTCTCTCATGGAAACTATTTCTAAACTGCTTAGAATGTGCCCCCATCACATGGACCACTTGCGTCAGCTCTGTAATAAGCTTAGTCATGAGCTGGAGAGTCGGGGTGAGTAGCCCCTGTCATGAGTCTCCAGCACACTGTCAGTGAGGGCACCAACTTAGAGGCCTTCCCATCCTTGAGGACCCAGTGCCTAAGAACTCCGTGGGGGAGATTCCCTATGCATATTTGGGGCTCACAAGCACAATTGTTCCTCCTCATTCCCACCTTGCCCTAGACCCCCTGAAATGGTTCCTGACTTTTGCCAAGAGGCTTCCAGTTTGCACCATCCTCAGCCCATGCCACAGTCAGACCTCTCTCTGCATGAATTTTCCGAGTTATTGTCCATTGACTAAGTAATGTGTTTCTACAGCCCCAGTCAAATCACTGGTCACATTCCTGCATCCATCCTGTTTGCCCACTGACTCACCCTCTCTCCCCGCCTCCACGATCACTGTGAGGCACCGGATAGAGTGAGGAGTGAGACAGTCCTTTCCCTCAGAGAGCACACATCTTTCCTGGGAGCAGGCATTCACGGCAGTGCTCAGTACCCGGAGACTAGCAGGTGCTGGACTGTATTGCCGTGAGCTGCGGGGAGAGGGGGGAGGTTCCTCATACAGTGCTCCACGGCTCAGGCAGTGAGAGCTGCTGTTACCCTGTGGCCGACCAGTAACTTTTCTCGTGTGCACTCACAAAATTGTTTTTCACAAAATTGAGACACAACGTGGGCACTAAGTCAAATAACAAAAGCGGAGTGTTTTGGTTGAACTGGAGGTAGGCTAGGGATGCTGTAGAGAGTTCTGTGCTCAGCTCCCTCTGTGCTTCTGAGCCCTGCCGTTGCTCCCCTCAGCATGGTCACAGACAGACCTAGCCAGGCCGCTGCTAAAGACATCGATTTGCCTTGGAATGGCCTAGAACAGTGGTCCCCAATCTTCCTAATGCTGTGACCCTTTAATACAGTTCCTCATGTTGTGGTGACCCCAACCATACAATTATTTTGTTGTGACTTCATAACTGTGATTTTTGCTACTGTTGTGAATCATATGTAGATATGCGATATGCAGAATATCTGATCTGCAACCCCAAAGAGGTTGAGACCTACTGGTCTAGAACCTGCAGGTATGCGAGAGGCAGGTCTGCAGGGGACCTCGTTTCTCCTGTGACAGCTGCAAACTGGAAGAGCCAGGCTCTCCTACTGAATGATGACTAGACATGATCTGGAGACACACAGCAGCTCACTGAGAATGGTCTGCTGGCTTCACAGGAGGCTGCTATCTCTGGACAGTTTCTCCGGAGGGGAAGCTGTCTGTTCTAGGACTTGTAAGGATATAACTCTCAATGGAAGACTATAGATTCTGACCAGCCATGCTTGAGCTACCCAGGAAACCCAGAGATGTGAGGCATTTCAGAGATGGCCGAGAGGACACGACAGAGGCGGCCGAGCCTGGACTGTGCCCTGCTACGCATTCGTTGAGTCTTACTGAACAGTTTATGCTGTGATCCAATCATCTTGTGTGTGTTTGGTTAGTCCTCGTAACAATCACACCCATGAGGTACAACTTTACCCTTGTTATGCTAAGGAGGAAATTAAGGTACACAGAGGCATAACCAATAATTAAGGGGAGAGCTGGCATTTACATTGGGATAGTCTGGGCTCTCCAGGGCATGTGCCGGTTTTCTGTGCTTTTCACACCAACATCATGACAGGAGCATCATCCAGTGATCCACACCTGGGGACCCTTGTGTGCAGCTTAGGCTGTTGACCAGTTACCAAACACAACGCCTATGTGAGCTCTCTTTGTAGATCCACATTTTCGCCTTAAAGACATCCCTCTGATGCAGCAGGGAGGAGCTGCTTTGGCGACCACTAGATGGAATATTCCCCATGAAGCAGTTCTTGGTATTGACCTGACATGAGGCCAACTCAGCTAGCAGTCTGAGCTGGCCTCCCAGCATCACACGCTGGATTTCCAGGCGTGGAGCACTCTAGACTCAGGACTGCAGACCTCTTAGAGGGGATTGCTAGGTTGCATTTTTCTTGTGCTACTGAGGCTCAGGATCCTTCTGCCAATAGCCTTGGGCATGATCTGAAGAAAGGGAATGCTGTCTTCTGGCTGGCTAGCTCTTATGGGTTGAGCTGGCACACCGCGTTTTCAGTGTTACCTCTCTCTTAGGCGGCATGGTGCCACCTACAATGTGTTATCAAGCCCCTCTCTTGATTGACAACTTGTTCCTAACCCTCACCTTTCATTGCAAGCTTTGATTTTGGGGCATGACAGGTTTACAAGTTGAAAGTCTGTGGTGGGAGATGGAAGAAGAGTTCTGGCTTCTCAGTGGGTCTTCAGTAGCCATACTCTCTGTTCCTTACCACAAGGGATACGATCTGTTTCATAAAGGGTTAGGTGTCTGCTCCATTTTGCCGGTAGAAAGTTAGTTTTTCTTAGAATCATACAAAAGAAAAACAAATTTATCATAACGCTCCCAAGGTGGAAAGATCTAATAGAAATGCCATTCTGTTAATACTTAAAGCCTGCAGGAAAATTTCAAAAGCCCTCTTTCAAAGGGCCAAACAGCAGGCCTCGTGCATAAAGCCTGTGCACTTACAGGCCAGCTCCCCTCACAAGTGACTTGGAAATCTTACCGTCTCATTCAGAATGATCTATAGTCCTGAAGAGAACTGCCACTGTCCTCCACAGGGTGTGGTTTTAGTGCCACCTCATTGACACACCACTGACACATACCAGCACCATTCTCGGGCCTGCCTTCCTCTTTTGTCCCCATCTTCAGAGCTCAAGATCATACATTCAAAAGGTCATGGGCTTTCTCGGCTAGGCTGCATATGGTTGCTTTCTAGTGGTTTTTGGAAGTGAAGGGTTTCTCTGCTTCGTCTCATGCAACCCTTGGCTAGAGATTAGCCACAGTCGTGAGAAAGATGGGTCTCCAGCCCGTGCTAAAATACACTCGGAAGAACTCCCCCCACCAGCTGTTTTGTTTCCAAAGTCAATTTATTGAATATTAATCCATAAAGACAATGATATAATTTTAATGAAAAATATCCTATATCACTCAAGACTTAAAACAATACCCCTTAGAAACACTGCTTAGAGAAATAATCACATTAACTTTACACACGAGTCCTTTCTTAAGCTTTATTTAAGAAATCGAGTACTATATAGTTCAATATATATAAGACACATCCAGTATTGTGTTCCTGATAGCAAGTGCATAGATTTTGTTAAGATACCATTTTCACTCGATAGAAATGGTTCACGGTCACATGAAGGTAATATTCCCAGTGATTTTGCCCAAGCATGAGAGGAAAAAAAAAAAAACAGAACATAGCAAAAATAGTGAACTACAACAGAAATGAAAAACAGAAACAGTGAATTAGTAGAACAGTCGATTCCTGATAAGTGAATAAGCTGATTGTCTGGCCACAATGTTTTATTCACTTATCAGGAACGATTCATGGACCGCGTATGTTCACTGCATTGCCTAGCTTGCTAGCTATGAGCCTGCGGCTCACACCCCATTGCTGTGGCCTGGCAGGCACGTGGCGTCCATCGGCCAGGAAATGTATATGGTTCTGTGGTTTCTCAAAGCGGTCTGTGTGCGGGCCATAGACAGACCTGCTCACACCATAGTGGGCTTTCCCAGAATCAACACCGAGTGCGAATTTAAGTAGCAGCCAACCTGACGGTCACACGTGCTTACAGGAACAAGCCTCTGTGTCTTCTGTGCGGGAACGTTATACCTTGGGCTGAACGGTGGTCATATTTGTGCTTCCAGAAGAAACACATCCTGGGGAGAATGTGATCATCCTCTTTCCCCAGTTTTCCCTCCCTTATGCCACCCCTTCTTCCAGAAAAGACAGGAAAAGCAATCACACCGCCAGCCATCTTTCCTCGTTAACGGAAGCAGTGACCCTTCAGAGGCAGACTGACTCGGCAGTGAGACGGACAGCAGAAGCATGGCTAGAAATCAGCTCCCATCAGTGTAGGTGTTCAGTCTAAGGAAAGAGCTGAACCTCAGTAGGCCTGAGGTTGCTGATCTGACTGAAGAACAGGGGCCTGAGGGGCCTTCTGAAACCAGAGGGTGGGCAGCCAGAGCTGTACCAGGCTCATGGTGACCTGAGGTGTGCACAGGAAGGTTAGGAGGAGTGAGAAGAGGAGGGAGGAGAGTAGACAGCCATGGTATTTGTGAGGAACACCTTGAGGGGAGGCAGATCCTGAGCAAGGTAGGCTTGTGGCTCTCACTACAGGGAGAGTTGGGTTTGTTCTCTGATCAGGGGCTGGGGGACAGTGGGAGCCCAGCTCGTTCCTATCCTGTGTCCACCCAGGAGGGAACGTGGACCTATGGCATCATGAGCTACCCCTCTAGAAGTCCCCCACCCCACCTCCCTTATTCATTTCAGCTTTCACTGGAGAACCTGGCAGTCTTCCCACGTCTGTCAGTTGTAATAATTGAAGCTACTCCTGGATTAAAATGATTAGCATGTAGAAATGCATTTCTACACATATATCAACTGATGTGCAGACAGCTAATTTTAACTCTTTTTATACCCCCTGTTGATGAGTTAGTTTTATTCTGTCCTTCCCTGAGGGCTCATCTCTTGTAAGGATGATCCCTTTCTAAGTTTGACTGTAGTGATATGACTTTGGACTTGAGGATAGACAGAAGAAACCCTGGGTCTACTGCTTCTGCTTCTCTTAAGATTAGTGAGGAACTGTGGGTATGAGGGAGAGGGGAGCAAAGGGAAAGGAACACATGCCCTGTAGGCAGACTGGATGAATCACTGGGAAAAGGTGAATCATCTTGGAAGCAGCGGTTAGGTGGGCTATGCATGAACCAGGGCTGGGATGCGCAGTTTCCTTGTCTCCCAAATCAGATATTCACTTAGGTGGAATCGACTGTATCTTTTTACACAACATATAGAAAAAAACATACGTGCAACGGTGAGGTGTGTAGATGCGTCACCAACACAGAATGACCACCAACAATACAACACGCAGAGAGAGAAACAATTATTAGGAAAATGGTTTAATATTGGAGACAGAAGCAAAAAACCGCATCACACAGTAACATACATTACAAAAATAAGTCTGACTGTTTCAACTACACGGTTATGTTCACAATGAGGACAGAAGGGTCAGAAAAAACCTCGATCTAAACAGCAAAAAAGCAAACTCCTAAAGTTTAACTAATACATTTATCCACTTAAAGTGACTGAGTACTTCTAAGTCTAATTATCTTATTGTGTAACTGCACAATACAGAATAAAAAGTGAAACTTACCGCTGTATTTTAAGACAAAATTCTAATGCTAGATATAAGCAAAGGGAAAAAAGAAATCAAGCCAAAGTTTTTAATTCTTAAAAGAAAAGCAACTTTCTTTCTATCAACCAGAAATCAAACTTGAAATCAGTCATTGTCAGGGGCCCACAAGAGTAAGCCACAAAAATTTCCATTTTTTTAATCTCCAGTATAAAAAATCCCACTGGTACAAAATGCATAAGTACAATCAGGTGTAGAAATAGGAAAGCCTGCGTTTTTGTTTTTTGGCTCAAATTCCATCAAACAACAAAATCCAAATGCATCAATAAAACAGAAACAATACTCAAATGGTCTTACAGTTTCCACTAGGTTGCATTAACTTTGGCTTTTCTCAGACAATATTTAAAAACTACTTTGTAATTCTAAACAAAATGGTATTATTAATCTACAAACAACAATTCCCACAGCACAAAAAACACAAATACATTTTTTGTATGACATTATTCAAAAGGTAATGAAACTACATTTTTTTAAAATTTTATTTCTTTTTAATTAGCACTTAAGATAATAAAAACAGAAACAGTAAATGATTCCAGAGTAGCACAAGCCAAAGAACTAGAACCCCTGCGGTGAAAGAAAGACGAACTTGTTACACCTTGGAGGTGCGCTCTGATTAGAGTTCTCTGAGTGAGTTTGAAAGACTATGTTCTACACTTGATTCTTAAAAACGCGGCTTCCCTGTGTTTTGTCTTCCAGAAACAGGCCCTGTACACCCTTGCAGCTTTTCCTTTTGACATTGAAAGATAAAGGACAGTTTGTCTCTGAGGAAGGTTATCTTTCTTACAATGAAACATGCAAAACCAAAAACCTCCCCCTCAATGTACTGTCTTGGTTGCCTGCAAAATTAGAAACACTCAACAGAAAGTGCCTGCCTGGCCCGAGCCTCTGCGGGGGACTGCAGGTGGGTTAAGAGGAAGGAGGGCAGTTTGCATCCATGGGGAAAAAAAAAAATCTGATTTTTTTTTTTTGAGATTTATGCCATTGATAGATGAATAGATTCTGAATGAGACGGTCTATGAAATACAACTTGTATTCTCTTGTGTTTCTACACGTGTATCTACACACCACCATATAGTAGAGACTGAGAAATGTGTGTGACCACTTTGTTATTGAGCTGAGTGCTGCAGAAAGTACAAAATAGCCCTCAAGGATGAAGGAAGGCCCCGGCAGTAGTAAACAGGTGTGGGGAAGTGCACGTGCTGTAGGAGGAAACTTGTTTTTTTGCATTGTGAGAGGCTAATCCTTTCCGACTCAGGGCTATCTCATTCACAGCACACTAACCCATGGGGTGGATGAGGAAAAGGGGGCTGAGACCAGAAGCTGGGAGGGTGTGTTTCCCCCCAGGCTGGGTGTGGGCTGGGACTGTAGGTATGACATTAGGGTCTGTCTGAACAAGACTTCTGTTCATACAAAGCCAGACTCAGCGAATATGGCACTTTAAAAAGTGGCAGCAGGACCTGGTCCTGGGTATTTGGTTAGTAACTATGGTGAAGAACAGAGTTGAGCTCCTCTTATATGGTCAGCCCCTTTAAATGTGTTCAATCAAAAGTCAAAACACCCTAGAAAACCAGAGAGGCAAGGAAAGGCCTGTGGGCTTTTCCCACAGACACCTTGCTTATTCAAGTGTCCACTGGAGTCCAAGAATCCCTAGCACAATGGCTGATTCAACATTACTTAGGAGTGTTTAAGAAACGAAAGCAAAATTCCTTGAAAGACTGGACCATACAAAAGCCATTTAACTGCAGGGTGTATGGAAATATTGTATACTTGGACATACCATGAAGCCTGATCTCAAAAAGCAAACAGTGTTTTGAGGGCTTATGTTGGGACTAAGTCTACCTGTTTTTACCTTCACAGGGTTTAACTCAATCTTTTAAATTGAAACTAAAGGAGCATAGGATAATAGGAGGGAAGGGGACTAAAAAAGAAAATAAAAAAAATGGTATAGGAAAAAGACAAGAGTTTTTGGGTGGGGGGGGGTCTTAAAAAACAAAAATAAGAACTTAGAAGATATATAGAAGGAAAAAAAATCCAAATCAGAAACACCCCCAAACAACCCAAGGATGACAGTATAAAAAGTTACCAACATTCCAGATAGCTCTGGGTAGAAAGGGTTAAAAGTTCAAGACTTTCTCACCTTAGAGGTTTGCAGATATTATGAAGAAAATACATTGTGAGGGTTGCCTTCACAGCATTGATGTGCAGAGTGGTTAAAAAAGTGAGACATGGGCACTTATACAATGTCTTACAAAAAACAGCATAGAGAAATAACAAACAATAACAATTTCAGGCAACAAGACCACAGAATAGCAAGTTAACAAACTTTGTAACCTTTTTTTTTAAATATTAGGGATTTATACAAAACACATAATAAAATACCCATGTTATCAAATTACTTCTCACAAGAAACACACCGAAGCTCTAGGGAGGAAGTACCTTTGGAATTTGGCACTATATAGTTTTCACTTTTTTCTTTAAAAGAAAAAACAAAACAGATCACATTTTGCTGAACACAAACACATCTAATAGTCCACAATAAAAAAAGTGACATCAATGCTTCTCAAGCCAACACAAAACTTATTCTGGAATAGTTTTTTTTTCTCTCACATGAAATAATTTTTTTAAGCAAACAACTTTTTTTTTAATTCTTTTTTTGTTTTGTTTTAAGTAAACCAATTCTAAGCTTGTCTTATCAACAAATAACATTAAGACCTTGAGACTCATGATGAGACCACAACTGAATCCACAGAAGCACCAACATGACACAGTTACAGTAACCTTTCTCCTGTACATTGAAACAGTATAAAATATAGGTAATTTCATGTGCATTAAACCATGGATTGTCTAACTGTGAGTCAGTTCAGCAAAAGGTGACACAAATAGGTAGCATTTGCCCCAAAACAGGGTAAATATTTTTCTTATACTAATCTACAAAAAGTGGTTCTATATATATATCTTAATGAGAAAGTGAGCCACCTAAAATGGCCTTATCAAAAACTTTACACTGCCTGAAAAATGTAAAAACTATTACAGACCTCTAGAGACTTAAAATCAGACAGTTTTTTTTTTTCTCAAACTGTTTTTGGAAGTAGTCTGTTAGAAACCAACATTCTGTGTCCCTGGACACATATTGCTATTGTCACCAGTGACCGGGAAGAATGCCAATCCCTGTGTAATACTTTCAAGTCTGTTTTATGAAAAAAAAAGAAAAAAAGAAAAAAAAACATTTTTGCCACAGGTTTTTTTTCTATAATTTGTCTAATAATTTCAGTCTTGCATGAATGCAGCAATGTTTTTCACATTGACTTCCCAGAATTCATAGCTAGATGAGGTCACATGCAAATTTCAAAGGTCAAACTAGATCAAAGGTCAGTAGGAGAACCAAATATGATGTGAGGTCAGAAAGACATCAGAAACAATGACGGGACGATGGAACTTTTTTGAGACGCCACAGGGACATGCTAGGCAAACGGTGAACTAACGGGCATGAAGATGTCTAGGGAAAAAACAAGGAAGAGTAAAAAGTTACACAGAGTCTACGCAGCAGCAACAAAATCACTTTCAAGGGTGCAGGAGAAAAACTAATGCAAATCTGAGGTCTTCAGGGAGTCTATGAGCCAGTCACATAATTTGCATTTCTTACACTCTTTTTCCACAGCACAATGAAACCCCAAGAGAATCCATCTGGAGAGAGTGAGAGGGGATGGATTCTGGGTGTTTGGGGTGAGGGACTAGCAAGGGACAGAGGAGAGGGTCCAGTCTGAACAAAGGTGACATATGGGGAAGTCAAGACAACTGAACTGTAAACTAGATAATGGAAATTACGAACAAAATAATCAGACAGATACAAACAACGAGAGGATAAAGCATGAACTTTAGGTCTAGGGTTCAACAGCGAGACAAAGCCCGTTCCTAGAACAATTCCTCTAGAGACTACTTCAGGAGGCGCTAGCTGGACAGAGAACTGCTTGCTCTTTAGGTACCCAATAAGTTAACAATAGGCAATAAATAACTTCCATTATTTCTGAGGCAGTAAAAATTTTGTATAAAAATAGAAATGCTTTTTTTACAAATAAAATTTACAGGCCTGTGGCTTTCTTTTTTATTTATGTATTATTTATGTATTTATTTATTATTAAATTTATCTTTCAAGAAACATCAAGTATTTTCACTCATTTTTATTTTATTTTTAAACCCTGTAGCTTTAAGAAACAGATCTCTAAATCTTTTTTTACATTAATCCTTTCTAAAAACAAAAATAAAACAATAACAAAATAGACAACCAGTGTAATAATCTGACCAATAAATGTCATGTTTCTTTGAACCCTAAAATAAAATCCTACTTATATTAAAACAAACCAATGTAGTGGGAGGATGTTCTGTGGTGGTTTAAGTGCTTCTCCTGGCTTCTCCCTCTGCTAGGCCACCAGGTTAACTCAACCGCAGGGCCTCTGAGGGGCGGGCGGGCAAGGAGGGGTGAGCTCTCCAGGCAGTGCTCTTGGGGCACCAGTGGTTTCAGAGTTAGAATTGCACATTAGTGTTTGCTTGCCTTTTAAAATCTCAAGATGTCATTTATTTGTTTATATGTTTTTCTTTTAAAAAGCAAAACAAAAAATTTAAAAAGGAGTAAGGATATTCAAATTGCAAAACAAAGGAGAATACAGTGGCACAATTAGAGAAGGAATTTACTCAACAGAAACAAGGTAGCCCAAGTTTTAATTATGGCAAATTGGGTGGGGCATGAGTGGAAGGAATGGAGGCCTTATTGTAAAAATAACCGTCTCTCTTGGCAAAAGTTGGCATTGTGGTCCCTCCTCTGCCTTCCCTGTTGGGAACAGGCTGGCTTGTGGGACTTACCCTAAGGAAGCTAACATGAGAGCAGGGGCTTCTGGGGTTAGTCAGTAAGGTTTGCTGTCGTTTTTGGAGCGCTTCAGTTGCACCTTCAAGCGCTTCATGCCGATCTGAAAGCCGTTCATAGCCTGGATTGCAGCTTGCGCAGAGACTGGATTGTCATAGCTAACAAAACCTGGAAAACATAAAGGGGAAGGAGGTAGGGAGGTCAGGGTGAAGGGGAAGTCAAGCAGAAAATGGGACTGGCGGGGCTGGCCGGCACAGTATGACTGCAAATGCTGAGAGGTGCCTGTCCCAGGATCTGAGCTGGGCTCTGCTAGGTTTATGCATGCACACTGCATGTCTGTGGACAACAACTGAGCTAGTCAGAGAGCAGATTCTCCATAAAGGGCAAAACCTCTCTCCACAAAACTAAAGCTAAGTTGTTCTATGAACTTTCTCCCCTCTTTTTAGTGCTTTGAAGTATCCCTGTTTGGTATCCCTCTCCCTCCCTATTCCCCAGGATCCTTTGGAAAAACTCCTCAGAAAAGAATAAGTACTATATATATTCATAGACAGAGCCTACAAAGGGCTGGGCTTTGGGATGAGTCAACCACTGAATTAGGTGAAGTAGAATAATGTATACTAGCTTCTTAACATTTTAGAATTACTGTTCAGACAAACCCAGAGAAAAGTTACATGCCTTTCTCTTTGTATCAGGGCTTAATAATTGTTTCAACATATCCCAGTTATTTGTATCTGCAACAATAAGCCACCATGAGAGAGAGAGAGAGAGAGAGAGAGAGAGAGAGAGAGAGAGAGAGAGAGAAACAAATGATAGATATTTTGCACAGATTCAGGAGAGAATTCTAGCTGCTGAGTTTGTCCTAACAGTGAACTGTGAGACCAGGCAGGCAAGTGGTGACTTTGAGTGGTGACAGAAACCTACTCCATGGATTGAATTTCACTTTGAAACATCAGTAATTTGGAAGGTTCTGGTATTTTCACCTATCTACTACTATGAAGGTTTAAAACTAAAGAGAAAATTCTTTTACAAACCAGTGGAGGGGGCAAAGGACATAAACATTCTTGAGCAGAATTCTCAGCTGACAAAAGTGGACACAAGGTATAAGGTAAAAGTGGGTACAAGGTATAAGCTTTCAGTAGGTAGGCCACATTGCAAAAACGGTTGTTTGTGTTTCTATTAACTCCAGCTCCTAGTAAAAGTAATCGCAAATCCAAGACTTTCACCCTGCTGTGACCTCTCCTTTCTCTTGGGGTCTTTTAGGTAGAAAGTGGGGAGATGATTAAAGAATGGAAATGGGTCAAGAGTGAGATGGATGAAAGGAGGGGTTTATTACAATGAGCAACTCAGCAAACTGGGAGTTTAAGACATAGACTCTTCACCAAGAAACTTGGGAGGCAAAGCTTTTAAGACAAATTGAAAATATATCGGGGATTCTCACAGCTACAGCTCATATTATCATGAACACATTGGTTAAGTAGTTTGTGGCCCGATCAAATCTCTTTGCAGGGTAATGTTTTCTCAAATCATGGACTACTGTTCCTTTCAGTCTCCAGATAAACTTAGGACAATTATGCAACTATGAAAACTATGTCTGTCTAAGAATCTTGCCCAGGAAGCCCTCCCACAGGCCAGCTCTGGCTCCCTCATGCATGCCCCTACATAACAGCTTAGCTTCCGTTTCCCTCCTCCGCTGCCACAAAGGGCTTCTATACAGTCCCCATAGTGAGGTGGAGTAGGCTTGGGCTGACAGCCTTTCTCCTAGGGTAAAAACAATCACTGGAAATGGTGATGCACTAATTCTTCTAACCCTGAGGGTTAGGCTTTCCTGGATAGGGAAAGACCTTAGCAGCAGAGATGCAGAACCAAAACACTATCTGCCAGCCAGCCAGGTCAAGTTTGAACTTCTGGCTCTCTGAGAACTATTCTACCTTAGTTTTCTTTGTAACACATACAACCCTATTTCTTTTTGCTCATATCTTATTTTATAAAATGTACCACCTCCCACAATATGAATTATTATTAAACTGTAGGAGTGATATCAACAAACTGCTGGATGCACACTGAGCCAGAGCTTGCTAAACAAGGCAATGAATACCTTGAACTCTTAACATCTTTGCGGATAAATCAGTTTGAAAAATAAGGAGGCCATGGATTTAACAAATGTTGTCCTTGTCATAGAGAAACACTGGGGGAGGAATTTTCATGACTCTGTTATAGGAGGGTGTGGGGGGAGAACAGATGCTCCCTCTGAACCCCAAGGGTGCAAGGCTGAGAGCTAGGTGTGTTGTAGTGCTTGATGAACACCTGCATGTTCTTGTGCTCTGGCCTGTGCACAAAGCCCTGGCCAACCTGTCAATCCAAGCTTATCATAATGCTTTGTTCTCTATGGCCATGGGACACACCAGCTGCTGGTCTTTAGTCTACATAGATGCAGTGAGGCAGCAATCTGGACATATCCTGCTTATGAGTGTGTACATTTGTAAGCTAAAGATGGAGGAACAAGCCCTGATACAGTGTTTCAGCTATCTGACTGGAGGAGTAAGGGGTTCGTGGTGGAGTGTTAGCAGTGGTCATCTGTAGCAGTACAGACAGCTACATCTGCACGGCTTGAAGAAACAACTACTGTTCTATGGTGAGGAAGAATCAGATATATAGGAAGATACTTTAATACTACAGTATAGAATATTACCTAACATAAAGGAATGCCCCCTTTTATACAGCACTTCCCCCTTTTCTGATTAAATAACTTTGTCCAAATCTGTTTACATGCAGCTAGGAAGTCAGGAGTCACCACCACAAGGAAGGCCCTATCCTGACTCCTGACTGGGAAACCTGCAATATTTAGCTAGGTTTCTTTTGCATACCAAAGCACTTGCTCAGATTGGTCTGTTTGTCAATGAAGACTTTAGCAGAGATAACATTTCCAAAGGGCATGAACATCTGCAGAATGTCCTGGTCTCCAAACTCCTGTGGAAGGTGGTAAATAAAGAGGTTTGCCCCCTCTGGACCTAAAGAGGAAGAAAAAATCAGAGTAAGGTATCCCCCAAGTCTTAGTCCCCAAAGCCTCTTAGGATACTTTAGTAATAGGTAGGTTAGCCATTTGGCTCTTTCTTATAAAGAATAAGCAGATGGATAATTTTAAGTGCCAGTATGATGTTTAGGAAAACACTTGTCCTCTATATGTTCTAATTGGTGGCAGGCGTGTGGTGGTGGTGGTGGTGGGGCTGTTTTTCAGAGATTCCTGGCCCACTTTAGCTGTTCATCAGCCTCATCTCCACGGTGTTAAGGTGGCAGCAGTGGGCAGGAGAGGAATAGGATTTAGGCATGGGCTACTCCTGGGTGGCCATGTTTTATGTGTAGACTATCTCCTGAAGTGGAGGAGAATGTTCTTTGCATTCTAAGCAAATTGCAGCAATTTAGAATAATGAATACAAAACAGCAATGCTGCTCAGATGTCTCCATCATTTGCCTGGTTATTCAGCCAGTTCTGATTTGGCAAATCTGTGCGCACACACGGTAATAATCATCTTTATTAGGATGACTGGCAGGGAGTTAACAACTGGGGGAAAGGTGGCTAGAATCTTACAATTTTGACAGGTAATTAGACTTGAGTACAGTGGACCCAAGAGTTTCTCCAAGACTGACTTAAACACAGCCTTTCTCTTTCCATGCAAATTCCAAAAACCAAGGGGGAAGGGAGAGGGAAGGGAGAAGGTCTTTTTAGCTATACTGTTTGGAAAGTTAATTGTCTTAAGTTCCTCACTGAACTCAAGACTCACCAATAAAAGAGTTGCATGGAAGTTAAAAGAATGAGAAGAAGGAAACCAGATGCATTGGATAGAGAGAGGATAAAGTTGGGATACTTCTTGGACGCTGGTAAGAATAGGAGCTCATAGAACTGGGGAAGTGACTTCTGTACCCAGGGAATGTGCCTGCCTATTCCATGTGGAGATCTGTGGCCAGGATTCTGTGAGTTCCCTACAGAACTCTTACAGTGGAGAATGGTATCCATGTGTGTGGACATGGGAATATGAGGATTAGAAAAAACTCGATAAAAATAAGTGAACTGGCACATCTTTGCTCCCAGAAAAATTAATGAACAAAGTGTCGTAAAGAATGAGACTTTACTGAAGCCATAGATGTAGTTACTTCTTTACTTAAAAACATGTCTGTGTCAGATGGTGGTGGCACACACCTTTAATTCCAGCACTTGGAAGGTAGAGATAGGTGGATCTCTGCAGGTTTGAGGACAGCCTGGTCTACAGAGTGAGTTCCAGGACAGTCAGGACTGTTACACAGAGGAACCTTGTCTCAAAAACAAAGAACCAAAACCCCAAAACCCCAACAATCTGTATTACAGATTCTATGGATATTTCTCTAATCTAGCTCAAGGGAGGCCTGCTTTAAAGGAAGACAACTATAGTTGACACTGCTCCTTAACTGTTTTCTGGTCCTAATTTGGATAGATGCGAAAACTCAAATGCTGGAAATGGGTGTGCTAAGTGCACTGTACTATGTGTTTTCTTAGTAATGGGCATACTAGCCAAACGTGTATCCCAGATTTAGCGTGCCTTTTAAACAAAGGATTTAAATGCATCAAGAAAGATTAATGGGGCTCAATTTGCATTGTAAGGAATGTTGCTTCTCCTGAAGCCTGAGTAATAAGCACAATTTTAATGAACAATATGGACTATGTGTACCTGAATGATCCTGGGAATCTCGAATGCTATCTACATTCTGATTCTGTCCATGCCAGATAGGGGGAGACCATGAACAGTGAGACAGACAAAAAGAGGTATTGGTCCTTTTGTTTATTATTTTCCCAGGAACAATTATCAACGTCTTCTTAATCCCCCCACCCCCTAACCATGCATGCCACTACCAAGAAGCAGTTTGATTTTTTTTTTTTTTTTGAGACAGGGTTTCTCTGCATGGCTCTGGCTGTCCTGGAACTTACTCTGTGGACCAGGCTGACCTCAAGCTCACAGAGATCCACCTGCCTCTACTTTCCTGAGTGCTGGGATTAAAAATGTGCACCACCACCACCTGACAGCAGTTTGATCTTTTAAACCTCCTGATCTGAAGATTTAAAAAAAAAGTTTTATATAGGAAAACATTCATTGTAAGCAAATGATGTATTTGATATAAATTCAAACACACATACACCTAGATCTCTAAAAGTAATTAAAAACTGTTCACAACTGACTCTTTGTCTACCTTCTCCTAGCACAACACCTCAACTGGCAGTTGTGTTCTAGTACTGGTCCCTACATGCTGGATATTGTATTCTGTATTTCTCATAGGATGCCTGATGAAGCACAAAACCCCAAAGCCCAGAGGCAACGATTTTCTAGAACAAAGCTACACTAGACCACAAGTGCCAATTGGCCTCTTGCTGGGTTCCTGGGGGTCCTAACTATTTGTGTGTACAAAACTTGCCTCTTGTTAAGGAAGGGAGATGGGAATAAAGAGTAGCCAGAGATGCTCACAATGGCATGAAAAGTGATGGGCTTTCCTGATATTTAGCTCGGTAGAAATGCTACAACCCTTCAGAAAATTCGCTATGGAAACATTAAATCATTTCTTTGCCAAGTTCAAGCGGCTCATTTTCCAGCGATGGAAAATATGCCAGAGTTCATGACTAAATAGTTCAGGGTATGTTTCAACTCTAACTAAAGGTCAGTCCAAGGACAAGCTGCAGAACAGAAATCTCAAAGTCTGCTGATTAGTAAACCTGTTCTTTCCCTTCACTGTAAACTATCGGCAGAGGGATGATATTCTTGAGCTAGAGGAACCGGGTGACCAGATGATCAAGAGAGGTATGAGAAGGTAAGAGATGTGGGCTGGGGCAGGGACAAACAAACCAAACCAATGAAGTGAACAAACCAAAAGCTATGACTAGTACCAAAAAATAAAGAGCCCTAAAACATATCCCTGGTAGCCAACATCCCTAAATTAGGATTAGGATGTGGTGGTCATGACCTCCAGTCCTTACAAGTCAAAGAAAAGCAGCTTACAGCAGTGGGCTGGGAGAAGTCTTTTATAAAAATACTATTTAACAATTAAATTTTTATCCTTAGTGGCAGCTTATATCTGAGTGACACAAATTTATACTGTCCTGTAAAGCCATGTTGGATAAGGTAGATTCAGCATTCTCCAGAACCATGTAGGGATTTAGCTTTGTTATCCTACAGGTTCTCTCCATGCTACTTACTTCTCACAGTGGCTCCAGGAACTAAACAAAGATAGGCTTTCCCAGGGAAGACCTGTGGTGCACACGATGCGAGGTCCCTTTCAAACACCCAGTGGGACGCAGGTGTTTGGGACATAGCTGTGCGCACTTGAATAGCTATAGAAGAAGTCACAGCTCAGAGCAAAGAGCTGAGGAGCAACTTAGGTCTCATGTATTTCTTTTCTTTATTCAAGATCTCTGTGCTTATTTGTCAAAGAAAAATTTATTTTCTATTTTCAAGTTGTACCTCCTTAAAATCCTAATTTTGCAGAGTGAAACTATGATACCACTTGCAGATCTTTAAATTAATATCCAAGCAAAGTCATTTGTAGCTACAGAGTATGGGTAAAAGAGGGAAAAAAATCAACCAAACAAAAATTCTTCTGATGTACCTTTTCCCATATTCTGAACTTCAGTTAATAAGGAAGTTAAAACAGTGGAGTGTGGTAGCCTACAAGTGCAATGGTAACCTAGCAACGGTGAGGTGGAGCCAATAAAGACTGGCCCAAATTCAAGGGCAGCCTGGGCTGTAGGATGAGACCCTACCTCAACAAACTAACCAACCAATAAAGCAAAAGAATGAAAAGGAAGAAGGACAAGCTATCCTCATTTGGATAAGGCCATATACCATTTTATAATTAGCTTTAATTTATTCTTAGGATTACCCTGCCTTATTGAACCTATCACTTTCTTTCCCAGAAGACATCCTCATTATACAGCAAACTGCATCATTTCTAACTGTGGATTCCATCATTAGTCAGAGCCTATCGCTTACTGAGAGGCAGCTTCAAGGGACTTGGACACTAAGAAGCTGGGGAATTCAGGAGAGAAGTTCTTCCCCAACACCAGACTGCATCAAACGGCACCTCTCACTAAGGAGTTTCTGTGTGAGGAGAGACTAGGCATTTTTGATGGTAGCAACTAGTAAATCATTTCCTGTAGATACCTGATAGAGGAGAACTTCTTAAGGGATTCGTGAAAAACTGAGGAAAACGTAAGACGAACAGAAGACTGTGATAAATGGCTCGTGCTTGAGACCTTTTCCTTTTAACATGAATACTAGAAATTAAGCCGGCGACTTCTCCTAAGACACTGGTTTAAATCAGCATCTTCTGGCGTGCTCTAGAGGCAAATGCAGATCTGGCTGGCCCCGCCAGGCCCTGAGGTGCAGATCGATACCCACCTTCCTTCTGGCTGCCTGCAGCACTCTGCTGTTGCAGCAAGCTCTGGCTGTACAAAGTGGGCAGTGCAGCTGCCGCGTACTGCTGAATTCCTGAGTAGGCCTGGGTGAGGGCGTCCATGGTGCCAGCCGTGCCATTCGTCAAGCCTGTGGCGCCAAGTCCTCCATTCAGAGCCGCCATACCTGAGAGCATTTGAGCAACTTTACAAAAAACCCAACAATAGAGAAGAGAAATAGCACTTATTCATTAGTGCTTTCCAAAGGAAGTCAGAGAATCATTTGACACAGTACAACAGCAAGTGCATGCAGCTAGCACACCAATTAAACAAACACAAAGTCAAAAAACGATACATATGAAGAAAGAAATCACAATAAGGTGGAAAAAAAAAGCAATGATAATTCTCCCTCCCTTTGCCAGTGATAAAAACGCAATGAGGCCCTGACATCAGACAGAATCACTCCATGCAGTATGCTGCTGGCAAGTACCACTGTTACCTTTTTGAAATATATACCTTCTTTTTCTTAGATCTTGGAAGCATGTGAAAAAAAAAAAAACCCCAACCAAACCAAACCCTCAGTGGCTGATGCCTAGCATATCTGCATACTGCTGTCCACTGACTATAGATTCTTAGGGGGCCACAGGTCTTTCCAGAAGCTTGAGGGCAAAGAGAAACCTTTTACATCCAAGCTGTGTGATTAGGAAGAGGCAGAGCAGACACGATCTTAGGTGTGCGCTCAGTGAGTCAGCAGTACCATCAGAGTGACTTCCTAAACGGTCAAAGGATGTTGTGAGGGCCTGGGACCTCAGGAATACATCACCTAGCTGGTTCAGAACTGAGGAGCAGGACACTTCAAGCTACTCAGCCTATGAAAGGCACACCGCACATGCTCACGGATAATAATCCATGTTCTCCAGTGAACTGGAGAGACACTGTCGATGAGCTGGATTCCGGCAGCAGCTTGGGGATCTGAGTGTAGACCAGGGTGTGATTCTGTCCTGGGGTCTTGGCTGCTTACTGTCATTTTCTTGAATATTGAGTTAAAACAGAGGATGCTTCATGGAGTATGAACTTTCACATGAACACAGGAAATGGAATAGGAAACAATTGCCTTTGGTTTCTTTTAAGACTAAAAAGGCTTTTTTTAAAGATCTGTTTCTGAGAACAACTTGCTGGAAATAACACTAATCTTGATGGTAAGGGAGGATAGCTACTATAGGATGCTTGCCAAGGATGCAGAAAAATCAAGTACCAGAAGCACTTATCACCCATCAGGGTCACCACTTGCCATCCACAGGAAGGAGAGGGGGCAGGAGATGTCTTATTTACACCATAGGTGCTTAGACTCCTTGGACAACGTCATCTCTTCAGATATGAAGCTGACCAGGACTTAGCAGTGGAGGACTCGCCTAGTGCTTCGAGTTTGGGTTTCCTATTGTGGGGCTTGAAGACACTGGGCTGGGCCTTTTGGAGCAGTACAACATAGTGTCTTCATAGAAGCTGGGGAAAGAAAAGTCTGAAGGCCTCAAGAATGAAATATGAGCTCTTGGAGAAAGGGAGTAATTTCAAGTCATTCAGCAAGTACGGAGTAAGTTAGGAGGCGCTGGCCAGAAGGGGATCTGCTGCACCTGCTCTAGGTTCTTATTATGAAGTCTACTCTCTTCCATTCCACTAATGCGAACAAGCACTGTTAAAGAGCTTAGAGCTAGTTTGTCCTAATTACTCGGAACGATCCCTCGGATACCAACTAATCACATTTACCTCACTGTTCCTTTCCTGCACACTCATCCCCATTTTTATGGCTGCCAAAGAACTGGAATTTTCTTTTTCCCTTTTGGTTATGTTTTATCCTTACTGCTTAGTATGTGTGTGATACTTCTGAGAGGCCCAAAGGAGTGTGTGAGACAACTTGGAACAACTGATTCTTTCAGCTCCCAACAGATGTTATGGATACAGGCCATTAAGCTGTGGACTCAATTCCTTTATAGGAGGGAATTCTGAAAGGAAATTGCTCTTCTGCCCCCGGCTGTGTGGTTTCATGTGCACATAGACCCTTTGAAATCCTGGTTTCCCAGCCAGTGACACGCGCTGAAGCCTAAGTCATACTCTACCGAGTATCTCCGAACTACCTGTCATCCAACTGTAGCTTGTCTGCTGAGGGCTGTGCAGTTGCCATACAAGGGCTCTACTTAATCTGCAGCTTTGAATTCTCCCTCCTTTAGTCATTTTCCACCCCTTAAAACAGAAACAGAATGAACTTCATACTCTTAAAATACTGGAAGATCTCACGACTAAATGGAGTATTCTGGGTGGTACGTTGTCATGGCTGGTTGTTTTCCTACACTGTACTCCAACCATAAACTACTTTCTGGAAGCTCTGCTTGCTTCTACTGCTGCTGTGTACGTGGAAGAAAAGACCTGGCTGTATGTTCTTGAGGATGGTTATAGGGAGGCAGGAAGTAGTTGGAGTACAGATGCCAAGGTCAGGGAAACTGGTCAGGGCCTTGTGCAAATAAGAGCACCACAGTTTGGTCTCTCCAGCCTAAAGCTTTCCTTTTCTAGATTATAACCATATTCTTGAATAAAAATAGGGGAGGGCTAAAAAAGTTCTTTCAAATACAAAGGCATTGAGAATATTTGTACTATTTTGGAAAACCTGGAGGCTAGGCATTGGCCAAATTCAGGGAGTAATGGGTAAACAACCACACGCAAGCATCTGAGGAACCAACCGAGGAGGATTTCAGTATCTGAGAGCAATTCTTATGAATTACCTGATGTTATTATACATTCAATAGTCGTGGTACCAAAGTTAACACTTAACAGCTCGGTTGCCGCCATCTGATTACCTCTAAAAGCCTTGGACAATAGAAGCAGTGATTTGAAGAAAGTTTAGTTGAATAAAATATTTCAGTTATTTCAATTTAAAAGAACAGGGCTTTTCTTTGAGAAAGCTACATGGATCAGCTCTTTCCTACTCTTCATCTAAATTCCCATGTATGCTACTTAAAAAGGATGGATAAAATGATGGGCGTGTCCAACCTCTGTAAGGGGAGTCTGGGGAGCTGGCCTGACAGTTAGGTGGTCTGCAGCCTGATGACTCAGTCTTTTATATTAGCTAAGATGACAGCCACACCCACATTGTTTTTGTGAGCACCATGGAAACGGTCCTAAAAAGCAGAACTAGAAGGAGTGTGCCACAAGCAGACCACATTTATGTACAGGTCACCCTTCTAGGAGATAGAGCACATAAATAAGAGAGAAAGTAAGGGATTTCTTTGAACACGCTTATTATCTACTGACTGGTAAATTTTCCTTTGATTAGATGAGGTGTAGCCTGCAGAGCTACACCTTAATAAATGAGGATCTGGGAAATATCTGGAATGAGGGAAAATGGATATCGATTTATTTTACAGTTGCACTTCCATGTTTGCCTGTGTTGGTAAGATCACACATGCAAATGTGTTTGGGTTGTGCTCTGGTCTGGAATGGAGTTCATCTTCAGAAATGGCTAGCTGACAGATTAAAGCGGTAATGCCACAGTGTAAGTAAGAGCAGTGTAAGCTAGGGTAATGTGCTCAATGCCTCTCCTCTTTTCTTCATAAAATTTTTTTTTTCAAAACTACTCTTTACCAAGTGTTTATGGCTACTTACCATAAAACAGGCTTATTTTCAGACATGTTAAGCCATATGGGAGAACATAATTTAAACAAAGGAAGAATGCCATTTTACCTAGATTTAGAAATATCCAGTCAGAGGCTCCTGGATAGATATCTCTGCACAAAGCATTTTTCATCTTAATTTAATTTAGATATTAATACAGAAAACATATCAATGGAATCCTTAAACTACCCAGATGAAGGATCTGAATGACTCATGTTCTTTTCAATCTTGCTGACTCTGGCTTTACTATTAGAGGCTGAACTTTTATTTAGTTTCAACTCGTTAACAAATAAGGGAAAGGAAAGGGTTTTCAAACAGTTTAACCTAGCAACTTGTTGGTAATGAACCCTTTCAGAGAGGTACTGGCCCTCTGGCAGGGAAGAGAATCAAGTCCAGGCCAACACGCAACAGCTCCTTACTTTCTTTCTGCTGTTCATGGAGAAGAGCTGGTTCTGTTCAGAAAACCAGAAGCCTCTCATCACTGTACCCACAGTACACACAGGAACCATTCCTGGTGCAGAGTTGGGGAGAAGACAATATACAAGCTGCCATTAACTGTTTTAGGAGCTGACTGTTTATAAAAGTATTTCTTGATTTCCTTGAGAAAATTATCTGCAACAGGTTGCATCATAATTTCTGTTGAGGAAAATAAACCAAGAGGATATTCTACCCTAAAAGAGTTTACCCTCATATTTAATCTGAGACAAATATTAAATACTCTCCACAAGTTGATGCTAAGGTTGTAGAAGAGGTTTGCACTAGTAACACTTAGCAATCAAGAAAGAACACATTTTTATTTGTGCATAATTTTTGTTTAGTTAAACATTTTCTTCCTGGTTCACTCTAACTGGTAGGTAGGGATACGTGAAATTAAAACCATTCTTTCTTAACTTGTCAAGAACTATGCATATTTCTATTAACCCAACTGCAAACAGTGAAGTCAGGAACCCAAATTGAAACTGTTGTCCTTGCCAGAGCAAACTTTGTGTAGCACACGACCCCGCACAAGGACTTATATGGTTTCTCATCATTCAACGATGTTCCCCCTGAGTCCTCACAATGAAGATGGGAAAAGCTTAGCAACCCAAAACAAAGCAAGTGCAGAGGCACAAGACACAGACAAGAGACACACAGCAGTCATGAGCACGTGCTGAGGAGGACAACCATTCCCACTGGCCTGTTACTCTGCAGACCAAGGACAGGCTGGCGATCAAATCAAAGTCCTTGTTTGAGGGGAACTAGGTCCTGGGGCAAGAGAAGCAGCATGAGGGATGTGTGCACACACACATCCGAAACCCAGGTGAAGGGCAAGTGAGCTGGCACTGCTGCAGGACAAGGTCAAAAAGAGGAGCCGCACCAGAAACAGGACTCAGGTCTCGAGGCTCCTAGGTGGCTGCTGGAAAATGTAAAAGCTGGAGGCAGTTTTAACTGGAATAAAACATTCTGGCCGTCACAAGGTTACCAGGCCATGTGCTAAATGCTAATTCAGAGCCATCACTTGTGGAAGAAAACATTTTTTTTTTCCTTTATGGTCAGGTAAAACTCAGTCTATTTTTTTTTTTTTACTTCCCTAGAGCATCCAAAGAAAAGACTGAAAACCTGAACATTATCTATTTTTTAAAATATGGTTTATTTTCTTACTGGGATTATAGAAGTTTAATCTTTATGTGGATACATTTTAGAGTTTAAATTCTTTTACATTTATTTTATTTTGTGTGTATGTGAGCGAGGGAGGGAGAGAGAGGAGATTGTGATGTGAGGGTATGCTTGTGGAGGTCAGAGGACATCTTGTATGAGTGGGTCCCCAGGGGTTGAACACAGTTCATCAGCCTTGGCAGCAAGCATTCTTACCTGCCAAGTCATCTTGCTGGTCCAATTGCAAATTATTACTTTTTGAACTTTTAAATAGAAATTAGGATTTGTGATTTAAAATAATTGTGGTCTGGTCACTCGATAAAACAGTTTACTACTTAATAAATCATGACCCAAAATGAGGTAAATAGCCAGGGCCCACTTACTACAAATTGAAGCAGGCAAGTATCAGGTTGCTTGGGCAGTCTGGCAGACAACTAGGTCCACAATGAAGAAACTCTGTTAGCTGTTCTGGGCCTCCAGGGCAACTAGGGTGGCCAAATGGATGGAAAGGTAAATTAGATGTCCTCCTTCTGGCTGAGGCTCAGTTTCTCCAGTGCAGAAGCCCACCCCAAATTTGATCCTCCAGTGTGACTCATCCTCAGGCCTGGGAACTGTTCCACATGTATCTGAATGACAGAACAGTTACTTTGTGGGACGGAGCCTAGCATCCTTTCTCAACGGGGCAGTTTGTTTCAGAATCAAGGGTAATTTGCTAACCTATATGCCCAAATCCTGTGTTGTCTGCCACAGTAAAATGACACCCCTTTACAGCCACTATTGTAGAGGCACCCCATCTCCAGGCACTTAATGAAGACAGTTCTCTTTCTAGCTGGAGCTCCTTGACACTCAGTTGCATTTCTGGCTTTCCAAGGACTAGTTTTTTGCTCTCACACTTATCTGGAATCCTTGATTTTTCAAGCTGGAGGGCACCTTTAATATCACTTGACCCAGAATTTTCAATTTTCCCATGGAGACTAGGCCAGAGAGGGAGCTGTGATTTGCCTGAGCTCTTACAGTTGACTGGCAGTCGAGCAGGATATATGCTACCCAACTTCCACGCCATTAACTTTTCTATTATAACACCCTGCCTTGCAGAAGGGCTGAGAAAATAAAAAACCAAACCAAACTCCTTGGAACCTGAAACTATCTGTCAAACTACAGCAATCTGAGGATTCAAACTTATACTACACACTGGAAAGAAGCTGGGGTGGGCTGTGGTTGGGTTTATTTTGAGATAAAATCAAAGGGGCAAGTTTTTGCCTATTGAACCATGTGCTCCTCCATCCCAAGTTTTAGTTCTCCCCATTTCATAGCCTTTTTGGTCAATTCTGGTTGACCGTGTTCTGGAGAATTTAGGGGAAGGCTGTCCACCAGAGCAGCAAATACTCACTGTTTACGGTACCTGCTAGTGCATTAATATTATTCAATCCGACAGTGGCTCCAGCCAATCCTTGGAGAGTTCCAAGAGAGGTCAAGGAATTCATGGCTGCACCAGCAGTAGAATTGGGGGTTGAAGCAGCCACTGCAAAAGAGAGAAAGGGAGAGAGAAAGCACAGATGAGAGTCAGCAAGAATGGAAAGAAACCTGCTGTCACTATACAGGCTAACCGTGGAGTCACTTAAACACCACAGACCTGTGATTTTTCCTTAAACCTTTTCTGTAAAGATAAATGGAACTGCACATGTAAGGCCTATGGCACTTAGGGTTGGTAACTGAAGAGATCACATGATAGGTTGGGTTTGCAGCTCACTGTTCCTCAGCCTCATTGAGCAAGGCCTTGATTTTAGTCTCCACCCTAGCTATGGTCCACCTCCATCTGTTTGCCAGCATAAAGAGTATGCTGCTTGCTATTGCCTGGGAAAAAATTGTGAATGACAACCCTGCAAGTCTAGATTATACTCTCAAATTTATATTTTGTTCACCAAACCTTCTTTAACTGTATCTAAAATGCTCTTAGATTTATAGTCACTGTATGTTACATTATAAATTTACATTTCCAGAAGCATCAGTATGGTCATTGCAATAATCAGTTGCTATTCAAATTTTTAAAATCCCTTAAGTTTCTGTGAACATACTAGTTTCATTTCCTTTCTGTAAATGTGCTAATAATTCTGAGACCCTAGATTGAATTAAATATATTGTTCAACTCTGACTGCTGTTTAGTTTTTAAAAGGATTTGTTTTTACTGCTTATTTATTTATATGCTTATGTAAGTATAGGTGCATATGTATGTTGGTACCTGCTGGGATCAGAAGGGGGAGTTAGATCCCTTGGAGCTGGAGTTACAAGCATTTGTGACCCACCTAACATGGGTACTGGTATTCAAAGCCCAGTCCTCATGTTAGAGCACTGAAGACTCTTACCTGCTGAATCATTTCCAGCCTGATTCCTACTTTTGGTCCTTGGTTTAACTACATTTTATGGCTTTTGAATGAGAGCTTTAATAATATTTAATATTTGTGAAAAATTATTTCTGGAAATAGTTGAAGTCTGGGTTGAAGATGGTCTTTTCAGGGATGATTTCCATGAGATTACATAAGGTGTTAGAGGAAAAGACAAACTAGAGACCTTTCCAAAATGCTTGAGTGTTTTGAACAAGCACCCATGTAAAGCTGATGCGAAGGCCTATTCACTACTCTAAGTTCTCAGAGGAAAGTATCTCCGAGAAGGGCTCTTCTCAGCACAGAGTTCATCTCACACTGACAGTTCAGCCTTTGGGGTTTCAGAGGGGTACTGAGATGGTCTCCTACCAGATACCTCAGGCAGGCTATAAACTTCTTGTATTCTTTATGCACCAGGAGCCTTTGAAACTTTATACTCAAGTTTTTCTAATTCACCAAATGCCCCTATGATGGAGGAAGGTCATTGGCTAATAAAGGAACTGCGTTGGCCCATTTTATTGGTTAGAGGATAGGTGGGAGGAGTAAACAGAACAGAACGCTGGGAGGAAGAGGAAGTGAGCTCAGTCGCGACAGCTCTGCTCTCAGGAGCAGACGCCTGAGAGAGACACCATGCTCCTGGCTCCTGGGCAGACGCACGCTATGAAGCTCTGACCCAGGATGGACATAGGCTAGAATCTTCCCGGCAAGCGCACCTAGGGGTGCTACACACAGATGATTAGAAATGGGCTAAATTAATATGTGAGAATTAGCCTAGAAGATAAAGGGCCAAGCAGTGTTTAAATGAATACAGTTTGTGTGTTGTTATTTCGGGCATATGCTAGCCGAGCAGGCGGCCGGGGTGTTGGGGACGCAGCCCCACCGCCGCCCTTATAACTACATATGGCACCCACGTGGACAACTGCTTCCACATAAAGCCTGAGACAGCTTGGGAAGTAATTCTAGAACAAAATGAAAGCATTGTGCCTGGTTTCTTGGTAGCAGCAATTTCTCGGTTCTACTCTGCTTGCTAGAGGCAAGCAAGCGCCTCATCTAAGAGAGGCTTCCTGACTCAGCTTTAGCTGCAAAGCCTGCAGCTCATTAAGAGGTCCTGCCACGAAACACTTAAACGGTGTTGACAAAAAGCTGAACACAAGCTTTTCGGTTTTCAGCCATAGCAGGAAAAAAGCTGCGCCGTTTAAAAATGCCGGCTTTCTGGGCCATCCTGCCAGGGCAAACTCTGACTGTTTGAGGCAGGAGGGCCGGCTACCGAGAGAGGACTTGAGTGTTGTCTGTTGTAGCTCACTTGCTGGCAGGGACCTTGAAATGCCATACAGTTGTTGCAGTAAACATGGCTACAGCCTGTATATCCGCCATGAGGCTGGAAAGCTAAGAAATGGACTAGATCTAGCTGGCAAAGCCACGCCTTTAGTCCTACTGAGATTGCTTGGTAAATTAAAGGCTCTTGTGGTCAGAAAAAGAGAGATATACAGTAAAGAGAGATTCAAAGACAAACAAAATTTCTAAATGGTTTGAAGTGTGTTAAAAATATATGCAGACTAAAATTTAAAGTTCTTAAAGTAAAAAAAAAAAAAGGAAGAGAGTTGTTGTGTGTGGTAGCACACGCCTTTAATCCCAGTGCCTAGAAGGCAGAGGCAAACAGATCTCTGTGAGTTCAAGGTGTAATAGTGTACACCTTTAATCCCGAATGCCTGGGAGGCAGAGACAGGCGGATCTCTGAGAGTTCAAAGACAGCCTGGTCTACAGAGTTACTTCAGGTCAAAGATACAGAGAACCTGTCTCGAAAAGCAAAGAGTTAAAAGTAAAAATAAACAAAAATAGAGGTTAAAACAAAACGAACAAAGATGGAAAATACACAGAGAATCTTGATACTGTATGCTATTATGCTCTCTTTGAATTATTTGAATACTGAGGAAGGTGCAACAGCTGCTAAAAGATATTTATTTATAAATGCTGCTGAACTAATCCAACATAGATATTTTAAATTTGGATCTAAGGATATGATACTTTGGAAAAGAGTTTCTTATTTTGTTTTCACAGAGGATGAGACGCTGTTCATTTCTTCTATTCCGATTTGGTATGATGGACCACGCCCTCCTGAAGGGTTGCAGTGAACATCTTCAGAAAATTGCTTTGCTTAACTGCCAACTGAGATGAAACTAGCACACAGGTTATACCATGAAAGACCTAATTAACAACGCCCCCATTCAGCAGGAAGCAGTTTGGAGAGAAATAACTGCGCCCATATTCCCAAAAAATGTTTATAAATGTTCTTTTACATTTAAAGGGGGATATGATATAGATATGAATAATTTACATTAGTATAGATTTTGCTTTATTGATAGAGATTTAAGGTCAATTTTGTTATATATATGTGTTTCTGATTTTGATTAAGGTATTGTGATTGTGTAGTTCATTTAAATATGTATTGTATAATTAGGAAATATAGGTTGTTAATGGATAATCATTGATAATAGTAAAGCTTGTAGTCATGTTAGTTAGATTTTCTAGATATATAGAGATATATTTTAGATAGGCATTCTTCATATTTTTCAAAGATTATAGAATATGGCATTTTAAATGTTTTAATAGCTTAGAACTTTTCATGACAATGAGACACTCTGCTCCTGGCAGCACCAATCTACTTCAAGAGGAAGATGGGCATCGAAGAGGCACCTTATGGAGTTTGATAGCCATTTGGGCAAGAAACTGCTCTTGCCTGGACTATTGCATAAACTGGACACAAAGAACCCGCAGAGAGAGGACTACTGAACTTGCCTAAGGTGAGGTGATCTTTCGGGGTTCCTGATTCATGAAAGAGTCTGTGAGACATTCTGCAGGACACAACAGATAGTGACTGAACTGACTTTGAATTTTCCTGCTTTATGGAAATGTCTGCTGGATACCATGGGCCTGAAGGCTGAAGATGGATGCCCCAACGGTACAGAGGAACTTTGGGTGATTGTTCAGGCAGCGAGATGTCTCTGTCATTTCTAGAGTTTTAAAAGTTGCTTTTTTCTTGTTTGCTTAGGTAGTATTGTATCTTTCTGGAGTCTTTGATAGAGTTAAGAATAGTTAGTTATAGTTATAGTTTTTCTTAGTTATGATAAAGATTATTGTAACTTTTACTTGATAACTGTTTTGTTATATGTAATTTTGCTATGTTAAAGTTAAAGCCTTTTTTTTTTTTTGTTTAAACCGAAAAAGGGGAAATGATGGAGGAAGGTCATTGGCTAATAAAGGAACTGCGTTGGCCCATTTTATTGGTTAGAGGATAGGTGGGAGGTGTAAACAGAACAGAACGCTGGGAGGAAGAGGAAGTGAGCTCAGTCACGACAGCTCTGCTCTCAGGAGCAGACGCTTGAGAGAGACGCCATGCCCTGCTCCCAGGATGAAGATCCGACCCAGGATGGACATAGGCAAGAATCTTCCCGGTAAGCGCACCTTGGGGTGCTACACACAGATGATTAGAAATGGGCTAAATTAATATGTGAGAATTAGCCTAGAAGAGAATGGGCCAAGCAGTGATTAAAAGAATACAGTGTCCGTGTAATTATTTCAGGGCATAAGCTAGCCGGGCAGGCGGCTGGGGTGTTGGGGACGCAGCCCCGCCGCCGCCCTTATTACTTCACCACTAATGTGGAAGCTTCTTTCATTGTGTTACTTCCTGGGTTTGCCCTTTTATTTAACCACTCATTCCTAAGCTTTCTAGTAATTTACTACTTAGTGATGTGATTAAAAACAACAATATCTTAGTATACATGGTAGTTTTTTTCTCTTCCAGTGGGAATTCTTTCTGTTGACTGAGTTCATCTAAATTGTAACTATTTGCGCATTTCCCATGAGCTTTTATCTGGTGGTATCCTACATGTAAAAGCAGATAAGGTGGAAAAACTATTCATGGTACACATGGTATTCTAAACCAGCAAAGTACTGAAAAACAAAACAAAGCTCGAGTCTCAGTGGCATGAGTGAAGAACCAAGAGGCAGTGTAAGGACCTGTGGGCCCTCTCCTCGGTGAAGCGAATGGAACTAGTGACAATCACAAAATGCAACAGTTATTACCTCTAGAAAGTGTCCTAACTAAGAACTCTATTTCCCCCTCCCTAGGAAAATGTATAAA